TACTAGGAGTCTGCCCAGAGAATACAGAAACCCTAATTCAGAGGGACGTGGACCCCTGATGTTCACAGCAGCATTGTCTACAGTAGCTGGGCTATGAAACAGCCCACGTGCATCCACTGAGGACCGGAGGAAGGGGACGTGGCGTACGCACCACGGGATGTCAGCCCTCAAAACAATGACCTCTTGCCGTTTGCAATGACATGGTTGGAGCTACAGAGAATTATACCAAGTGAAATAAGTCAGAGAAAGACAAATATGATATGATCCCACTCATGTGGACTATAAGAAACAAAACAGATGAGCAGAGGAACAAAAACCAAAAAGGCAAACCGAGAAAGACTCAACTCGAGAGAACACACTGATGGTGACCACAGGGAGGTGGGCGGGGACTGGGGGAAGTAGGGGGGATGGGGAGTCGGGGGCACCTGTCCTGAGGAGCACTGGGTGATGTACGAAGTGTTGAGTCACTGTATTGTTCATCTGAAACGGATCCGACTCTGTATGTAACTACCTGGCATTTAAATAAAAACTGAAGATTTAATGGAACAGGCACTTGCTCCTATAATGGGCCCATAGTAAATGCTCAGTGAAATTTCCAAAGAAAGGGGCGCCTGGTGGGTCAGTCTGTTAAACATCTGACTCCCAATTTCGGTCCAGCTCATGATCTCAGGGTCTTGGGATCGAGCCCCACGTGGGCTCCGCAGCAGGGAGTCCGCTTGGGATGCTCTTTCCCTCTGCTCCCCCCTCCTGCGCACATGCTCGCTCTCTCAAATAAATAAATACGTCTTTAAACAAGTTTGGCAGGCTTCCAGCTGCCAGTTTCTATCCGTCATTTGGTCTGAGACGTCTGGTTGCTTCTCTCTCATTGTTCCTTAGCATCACAACTGGTGGTGGGAATTTGGCTACTTTAGATTCTAGCCTAGAGGAGCCGTTGGTGGCTTTTGTTTCTGGAGGGCGGACGTCACAAGCCTTTTTGTTTATTTTCATTGCCGGCTGGTTTTGAAGTACCAGGTGTGTTCATTCTTCCTTGTTTCCAGTTGTAATTTCTTCCAAGATGAATACGATCATTGAGTCACTCACCTTTACTTCTAATGACTCAGCCTTGTGCAGCAGACTGCCAGGACAGCTTTCTGGCCTCTCACCAGGCCAGTCCACTGAGCCCCAGGCCTGCTACAGCTACATGAAGACAGTGTCCTTTTCCTTAAAGGAGAGTTTCTTGTATTGCTCCTGTGGCCTTTCGAGTTTGCGGGTGTCTTTCTGTTAGCCTGGCTTTCTGTCCTTCCGTTGTCAATGCCAGCTGTGTCTGCACTTCCCAAGGCTGCAGAGCGGCAAGTTGTCTTTTGGAGTCTGTAAATCCGTTTGTGACAAACCATCTGCTTAGCTTTGGGATAGGAAGCAGAATTTACTGTTTTTGTCACTGGAAGAAAGTCTGACCCCTAGTCCTACGGTAGTTCGGGAAACAACATTGACTTCTAGTAACCCTGTGCCAGAAGAGTGCATTCGATGAGCAGTTTCTCTTGACTTTGCAATTGGAAACTCGATACATTATTTACAAAATATTTGTGGTTAGGATAGAAATCTTGGAACAGAAAGCACTTGCATAAGAAATAGGAAGGTCTCTGGGGTTGCTGTTTGCTAAGTCCTCTGCGACCTTGGAGCCGTCTCTGGGCTTCTGCGAGATGTAGCCTGGCAATGACACGGGGTCTCAGGTGGTTCTGTGGTCGTTACAATGACCTTTATCCGTCCTAGCTTCTTAACGATGCCTAACTGTGACCAAATATGAATCTTAAAGACATTTGTCAATTTTGTGGGTCGTCTTTGCCGCGGTAAAGTTAAGTGGCAGTCAGTGGAGGATTTCAGCTGGACGTGTTTCCTGGAATTTGCCCCGTATTCCAGTTATCACTCAAATGTTAATTTCACCTTTTCCGTTTTAAAGAAGATCAGCTAACTTGATGTTCATTTGCTAAGGCAGGGGTTGCAGCGCTTTTCTGTCAAGGGCCAGACAGAAACTATTTCAAGCTCTGGGGGCCGTCAGTCTCTGTAGCAGTGACTCAGCCCTGGTCCTGTAGCGTGGAAGCCGTGTGCACAGCACGTTGTGTTTTAAGGACTTCCCGCTCCCTGTGTTGGTGATCAGAAGTGAGAACTCCTCTCTTAAGAATCCTGGATTGGAGGCCTCAGAAAGTTGTAGTTATGAATACGACCTTTGAACGCTTTTAATAACTGGAGAGCTAGATGACTGGTGAGTAGGTTTTGAAATGTGTAGAACTTGTCAGGAGAACTGGAAAGGAGTGGCAAGTTTGGCTCATTTTGTAGCCCGCGAGGAGGCTGAGGACCGTAGTCCCAGACGTGGGCATCACTGCTCCTGCGGGCGATGGTCTAGTGTCGTCTTCTTGAACCTGGTAGCATTGCCTTGACTTTGAAAAAGCCATCGAAATACAGGGAGACGAAGACTGTCTCTGCGCCCCTTGCCGGGCTGAGGCCCTCAGTCACGGGGGTGGGTTCACTTTCCCTGTCTGAACTGAGCGCTCACCCGGTCCCAGGCCCTGGGTAAGCTGCGGCACTCAGCAACCAGCTCTTTCGAGTTTGTGTGGCCTGCGCGGACGCACGTGCCACAGTTTGTTTCATCAGGCCCTTGTTAATGGCCTGAATCACTGTTACGGATTTTCTTCTGCCTCAGGCTCCAACGTGTCTCGGCATGACACTGTTACTGATCCCATCTTGATTTAAAATTTTGATGTTTTGCTGATTGTGGAGTTTGGGGAGTAGTTTTGATTTTTTAAAAACTTGCTTTACCATACATCTTAAAGATTCTGGCTACTGAATGTCCTGGCACCCCTTACATCTGCCCCCAAAGCAGGTGCTTTACTCTCTGCGCCCCAGTGGGCCCTGCTGATAGGTAACTCCGTCGTACACTGGACGTTGCCCATCTGCGTTGGACTCGGGCCTGGTATCTTTTCCTGGAGAGAACGAGCACTTGGGTAGTTAGCTTTTCTGCGTTCTTAACCCTGGCTCGCCTGAGGTGATCAGCACGGTCTGAGCCCGTCCTTGGTTTCCCAGCTCGCACTCTCCACGGGGCGTCTTCGTGGCTGCCGTGAGGAGGCGTGGCCCCCGGCTGTGGCCCCAGCTGCAGTCCTGCCTGTCTGGGCTCCCTCCTTCCCGCACCTGTGCTCTGCTCCTGCTCTGTCCCTTACCGGTCCTTACCTGCTGCCGCTGCGTCGCTTTCCCTGAACTTTCACGCTGTGATTGTTACACTTTGATTTCGTGTAAGTTCTTCTAGGTTCTCCTTTGGGTGGGCTGGGCGTTTATGTGCTCGCTGGCCCCGACGGCGTTCGGAACTTCCTTTTACGCCATTTACACCTACTGAACGTAAACGTACCCATTTTCTGTTGCACAATTGATCATTCTAGTATCTGACAATTCTCTTTTTTAAATTTTGGTTCTTGTTGGTTCTTGGTGCTGTTGCTCCTGGGTTTTGTCTTTCATGATTTTGTGATTTTTGTCATGAAGTCACATTAGTGCTGTATTTGTGGGGATTCTTTGAAGATCAGGTTGACGGTCCTTTCCTTCAAGAGCATGTTTACTTTGGCCAGGGAGCTGGAGGGGCTCCTGTCCCAGCTGTCCTTTTTTCTTTTCCTTTGTTTTTTGAAAGAGGAGGTCGGGAGGGACAGAGTGGGAGAGAGAGAATCTTTTTTTTTTTTTTCTTTTTTAAAGATTTTATTTATTATTTAACAGAGAGAGACACAGTGAGAGAGGGAGCACAAGCAGGGCAAGTGGGAGAGGGAGAAGTAGGCTTTCTGCCAAGCAGGGAGCCCGATGCGGGGCTCGATCCCAGGATCCCCCCTGGGATAATGACCTGAGCTGAAGGTAGACGCCCAACAACTGAGCCACCCAGGCGCCCCTGGGAGACAGAATCTTAAGTAGGCTCCATGCTTGAGATTGCAACCTGAGCCAAAACCAAGAGTCAGACCTTAACTGACTGAGCCCCCCAGGGGTACCTCCCAGCTCTCCTTTGTTTTAAAGTTACACGGCTTGTGGATTTTCAGGCCACACAGAAAGTATGGATTCATACCAAGCTTGGAGGCTCACTCTTCCCCGGCTTTGTGTGGGGCTCTGTGATGGGAGTCTCTGTCTTGGGTTGGTCTGAGGCTTTTCCTTCTGTCCATCTGTGCAAAGCCAGTCTGCCGGCCTGAAGCTGTGTGCTTCTGGAACCAGCCTCTTGAGCCCACGCCTGCTTGGAGCCGCACCTTCCCGCGGTTCTCATCACGGAAGTTTTCCCTTCGCTTCTTGTAGGCTCATTCGTTCTTTCAGGGGTTTGCCGACCTTCATGTAGTCATTTAAAAGAAATTGCTTCGCACTGTGAAATTTTGGGATCGTACTCTGCAGTAGTGTTAGAAACCTCGTCTGAGAGTTTTCCTGGTTTCATTAGACTCTGACTTGCCAGCTGTGCTCTGTTTGCAAGATAGCTTGTAGGACCCCGTCTAACTCGGACACTGTCCTGTCGCGAGAGCTGGCTGGGGCTGTGGTGCTCTTCGCGCCTGACGCCGCGGATCAAACACACGCGCGTGGCCAGCGCGGGCTGCCCAGACATCACGGACCGTGTTCCCTGAGTGCAAAGACAGGGTTAGCTTGCAAGCCCTGACCGAACCGTTGGCGTGCAGTATCCTCACGAACTGGGGGTCGCCCGTGTGTAATTGCGGGAGCCGTGACAGAGAGAGGGCTCGCTAAGTCAGGCCTTGAGGTGCTCTGCGGGACCCTCTCTGCGGCTCTACGCCTTGATTGTGGACTTTGTCCTGGTGGGATTCTGTGGGCCTGTCCGCAGCTTCCGTTCTCCTGTAGCGTCCCAGGGAGCCGTACTGCTTCACATACGTCCTGCCTGTGGTGCCCGGCACCCCGCCTGCAGAATGGGACATCGAGCAGAGGAAAGCCCCTGTCACAGCAGGAGTGTCGAGGGTGAGGCCTCGTGTGGGGTGGCAGCTCAACCTGTCTTCTTTCCGTTCCAGGTTACTGCTGATGTCCCTGTACAACGTGAGCATCAACCTGAAAGGCTTGAAGTACATCAGCGAGAGCCCAGGATTCATCCCGCTGCTCTGGTGGCTTTTGAGTGGTGAGGACAGGGTGTCCCCATGAACCTTCTCGTAGCGCCTGGGCCCCTCTTCCCCTCTGGCCAGAGGAAGGTGTCGGGTGTTAGAAACATTGGGACTGATTGTCCTGAGGTGTTAGCATTCTTCTCAAACTGTGGAGGCCGCAGTGGTGTGCTGGGTTATTTCTAGCTCTGCTGCTTAAAGGCTCTTTCGGGTTAGTTAGGAGTTTGCGACACAAAGAAAAATTACCTTTAAACATTTTATACTTATTTTCATTTTTTTAAAAGATTTTATTAGAGAACGCACAAGTGCAGGGAAGGGATAGAGGGAGAAGCAGGTTCCCCGCGGAGCAGGAAGCCTGATGTGGGGCTCGATACCAGGACCCTGCGATCCAGACCTGAGCCGAAGGCAGACGCTTTACTGACTGAGCCACCCAAGTGCCCCCAAAGAAAAATTCTCTTATAAAACAGCTGGTAAAGGTTGTTTACCTGCTCCTTTCTCTGTGGACAAAACAGCGCTGTGTGTTGTCTGGGCCCCTGAATGCCAGGTGGAGGCACGTGGGGGAAAAGGAAATCTGAGATTACAGCTCTGATGTTACGTACTTGTTATGTGTATGTGGAGCTTTTGTTTTCTTGGAAATAAAAGCTCTCTCTACGCTTTGTTTTTCTCTCTGACCACTAGTTTATTTTTTTTTTATTTTACAAAATTCTCATTCCAGTGTGGTGAGCATACCGTGTTACAGGAGTTTGTGGCGTGCAATACAGGTGACACTTCTGTGTTACTCAGTGATCATCACGATACATTACTCTTACTCCCCGTCCCGTTTCCCCCATGCGCTGCCCACCTCCCTTCTGGGGACCGTCAGTTTGTTCTCTGTAGTTGAGTCTGTTTCTTGGTTTGTCTCTTTTTCCCCCATTTGCTCATTTGTTTTTTTCTTAAATTCCATGTATGATTGAAATCTTATGGTACTTGTCTTCCTCTGACTGACTGACTTCCCTTAGCAGGATACCCTCTAGCTCCATCTGTGTTGTTTCAAATGGTAAGATTTCATTCTTTTTTATGGTTGAGCAATATTCCATTGTGTATATATGACACCTTCTTTATCTTCTTTATCCACTCATCAGTTGGTGGACACTTGGGCTGTTTCCATAATTTGTTGTAGATAATGCTGCTATAAATATAGAGTGCACATATCTTTTCAAATTAGTGATTTTATATCATTTGGGTAAATACCCAGTACTGCAACTGCTGGATGGTAGCATAGTTCTGTTTTTAACTTTGGGGGTACATCCATCGTGCATTCCGGAGGGGCTGCCCCACCTTGCATTCCCACCAATAGTAGAGTTCCCCTTCCTCCGCACTCTAGCCAACGCCTGTTGTTTCTTGTGTTGTTGACTGTAGCCATTCCGACAGGTGTGAGGTGGATCTCGTAGTTTTGAGCTGTGTGCCTCATAGTGAGCGGCGCTGGGCATCCTTTCATGTGTCTGTTGGGACTCTGGGTACATTCTTTGCAGAAATGTCTGTTGATGTCTTCTGCCCGTTTTCAACTGGATTATTTGTGTTTTGGGTGATGAGTTGTATCTGTTCTTTATATATGTTGGATACTAACCCTTAACAGATTTGTTATTTGCTAATATCTTCTCCCATTCTGTAGATCGCATTTTAGTTTTGTTGATGGTTTCCTTTGCTGAGCAGAAACTTTTTCTGTCACTTTTTTTTTTTTTTTTAAGTAGGCTCCACGCTCAGCATGGAGCCCGGTGTGCAGCTTCAACTCACAACCCCAAGATCAAGACCTGAGCAGAGATCGAGAATCAGACTCTTAATCGACTGAGCGATGTAGATGCCCGGAGAATCTTTTTATCTTGGTGAAGTCCCACCAGTTTTTTTTGCTTTTGTTTCCTTTGCCTCAGGAGATGTACCGAGAAATATGTGACGGTCAATGTCTGATCATGAATTTAACCCAAGATTTTGTCCCAATCTATTCATCATAACTTTTAACGCTGTGTATTCAGGAGGTGCATATTTCACTCAGGTGCGCGACAAATGGACTTTCCTTATTTTTTCATTATTTAGATTGACCTCTATTTGAGCTTCAGTTCTACTTGGTGGTGAATGCTTATTTTTTGTAACAGCTGTTTTCAGTTATAATTGATTTGCAGTGAGCTGCACACATTTGAGGCAAACGATAAGCTTTAATGTGAATATACACCTGTAAAATCACTGTGCGGTAAAGAGTGGAGGTGGGCGTCACCTCCAAGAGGTACCTGTGTGCAGTGGGGGTGCCTCCCTCCCACCCCTCTACTCCCCTCTTCCCAGATACATTCACCCCCTTTCTGTACTTGAAGTTGTTTTCATTTTCCACGAGTTTATGTACCTGACGTCATACATCCTGCGCTCCGTTTACCAAGCTTCTCTCATCAACCTAATTGTTTTGAGACCCATCCATGTTATTGTTGTGGACTCGTAGTTGTTTGCTTTTTATAGCTAAGTAGTGTTTTATGGTGTGGGTACACCACGACTACTTTATTTATGCAGGTGATGGTAGATGCCTGGATCGTCTCCAGGTTGCGATGATTACACGCGAAGCTGCTAGGAACGTGATAATCTGTCCCTGCAAGGACATACGCTCTCCTTTCTCTTGGGTGAATACCATGGAGTGGCACATCTGGGGGCACGGAAGGTGGATGCTACCGTTTTGCACGCCCCCGAGCAGCATGTCCGTGTTTGGCCCATCGTGCTCGTGGCTGCTTGTGCGTCTGCTTCACTCTAGATAGTCCAACAGGACCATAGCGCTGCCTCGCTGCGGTCTTAATTTGCAATTTTATTATGACTGTGACGCTGAGCGTCTTCTCGTGCACTTACTTCCCATCCATGTGTCTTCTCTGATAAGGTATCTTTTCTTATCTTCTGCCCATTCAAAACAATTGGGCTGTTTTAATTGAGCATCTAGAGTTCTTCCTGTATTGTGCATACAAATCCAAATACTGGATACAAATGCCGATATTTCCTCCTGGGCTGTGGCTTGTCTTTTTGTTTTCTTAAGAGCATCTTCAAAGGAGGTTGGAGGTTCTTAATATTTGTAAATAAAGATTTATGTATTTATTATTTTAGAGTGAGAGTGAGAGCAGGGGGAGGGGCCGAGGGAGAGAGACTCCCAAGCAGGCTCCCTACTAAGCGTGGAGCCTGACATGGATCTCCATCTCATGACCTTGAGATCGTGACCTAAGTCGAAATCAGGTCAGACACTTAACCGACTGAGCCACCCAGGTGCCCAAGAGTCTTAATTTTGATAAAGTTTAACTTACTCTTTTTCTTTTATGAATTGTGCTTTTTTGGGGGGTTAGAAATCTTTGCCTAAGTCAAGATCTTAAGTATTTTAAGTTTGTTTTCCTTTAAGAGTTCTGTGGTTCTGCATTTTACATTCAGGTCTCTGATCCATTTTGGATTACGACTGGCACGCTGCGAGAGGTGGGCGTCCCGGTTCTTGTGTTACGTAAGGCTGCCTGGTTGGCGTGAAGGCTCTTTTCTCCACTGGATGGCCCGTGCTCCTCTGCTGAAAGTCACGACAGCGGGTGTGAGGGTGCGCTTTAGGGCTCGCTGTTCTCTTCCGTGGACGCATTTCTGTACCGTTATGCCAATACCACACTCTATAATAAATCTTAAAAGTCAGGTGCTGTAAATCCTCTAACAGTGTTCTAGTTTTTTCAAAGTTGTTTTGGCTATTTCTGAGTTCTTTGCATTTCTACCAAAAAAATCCTCTGGAGATTTTTATGGGGATTATGTTGTGTTGACATTTTGTTTGGGGAGAATTGATATTTTAGCGATATTGCTTCTTCCAAGCCACGAACACAGTGTATATGTCTGTTTATTTAGATACTCTTGGGAGACGGTCTCTCATGTTTCTTTATGTCTTAAGAGCAGAGGAACTGACCTCCTTTGTTCCGGGCTGTCTTTGCAAGGATGCTAGTACAGCGAGCACCCTTGTCGGGAGAGAGAGCCAAGGGCGGGTGTGTACGAGCGCGCAGCACAGGTAGTGCCTCCGTCCAGGGCAAAGGTCGGGCAGGCTTACTACCCATCGTGAGAGATTTGGGGCTCCTCTTGTGTCACGCACTGCCTGGCCTGTGCATGGCCCTGTGGGATTGGGTCTCGCGGGACTGGCACAAGTGTGGATGTGGCGAATAGTGTGATTCTTTTTCTTGGGCTCAGGAGGCTCGGATCTCTCCTGTCCACACCTGTGAACCTATGGCCTGCGGACTTGCTAGCCGGCAAGCGGGATCAAACCCGGCTTCGGTAGTCTCCGGGCTGTGTTTCCTACTGCCTGATAACACCCACCGCCAGGGTTTCATGCTTGACCAAACAGCTTGTTTTCTTTTCTTTAAAGAGTATTTATTTATTTATTTGACAGACAGAGATCTCAAGGAGGCAGAGAGGCAGGCGGGGGGCGGGGGGGGGGAGCAGGCTCCCCACTGAGCAGAGAGCCCAGTGCGGGGCTCGATCCCAGGACCCTGAGACCACGACCTGAGCCGAAGGCAGAGGCTTTAACCCACTGAACCCCCGACGCGCCCCACCAAATAGCTTGTCTTCTCTTGAGAACATGAACGGAGGGACCCAGAGGATCAGAGGTGGTTGTCCTGGGCGCCCAAGGCACACCGCATCTGCGGGAGGGGAGGGGGTGGTGAGAGCCGGGAGGTTAATGAGGTGGGAGTACCTGCTCCTTCTTGAGGGCCAGTCACTGTTTTAAGTGCTTTAGTAGAGTCACAGATTGATTTCTCCAAATTCCATGATAAGGTAAAATCCTGTTTTATGGATGAGGCAGCAGGAGCGTTAGGGGCATAGTAGCCTGCTCCAGGTTATACAGCCGCTGAGCAGGAGTCCTGAGGGTTGGGCTCCAGACCCCACCTCCCGGCCGCTCTGTCGGCCTGCTGCTTGGCCGGAAGCCCCTCAGACATGAGCCTTAGTCCCGAGCGGCTTCCCACCCCCTGCCTGCCTGTAGGTCGGCTTGGCTTGCTTCGGAGATGGGTGT